TAAGAGAATTCATCTGATGCAGACGTGCATTTGAGGAAAGCATGAACTGTGTATGGTATACCTTTTTATGGCAAGTAATTTTTATTCTGCACCTGTGCTTTTGAGATTTTCATTTAAAGGACTGCAGTAGGTATCTTAGTGTCATTTGGAATACAAAGTATTAGGATACTCAGGGAAATATATAGCTGGTGAGACTTAACACAGTCCTGTGCAGTTGAGAGGGAAAACAATTTGGAAAGACAGAACACTGAAGTTCCTGCATTTGCAGATTTACAATGTGAGTTTCCACTCTAGGCATGCAAGATGGAAATTGTTATTATGCAACTGCAGAGGATTAACAAGCCCCTGCCTTACATAACTTATTACTGAACATGTACAGAGCTATCCTCTGCTGTTACGTCAAGCTCTAAAAGATGAGGAAACAGCAAGGGTAACACATGCCAAACTGCATGTGTGTCTTACGTTCAGGTACATATTGCTGCATTGTGCAATCAGATAATCGGGCATTTCTTCTGAAATATCATTATCTTTTCGTGCAGTTCTAAACATACATAGACACCTTGCAAATTCCTCCCCTTCTAAACACTTAAATCTTTTCATTGCTGTGAACCGCAGTTGCTTTATTAAATTAGGCCTCACTGCTATAGAACATTGAGGCTCCTTCATCACATTCCTTTGATGCAGTGCCAAAGAAATGGCTCAGGTATTTGAAAGTGATGTTGCCCTGGGGAAATCTCTAGGTAGCATCAAGCTACCATTAGAATCTCCTGCATTGTATCTGGTTGCTGATAATGAATTCCTGTTAAAATTGTTCTTCTAGCAGAGTCAAGTCTGCTAAGGGATACTTGAACAGGTACAAGATACTCTAACATGCTCTGTGGAGCACTGGCAGTCTGCTAGGTAAAAATCATCTTTTACACCTTATTAGATTGCAGAACACAGGCTGATAATTCCGGAGTTTTACTTATTCAACAAAATAACACAGTATATAATGGATTATTATTCCCAGTTCTACCCAGATATAAATGTTTCTATAAATGCGCAGATGATACTACATGATGTATTCAAAAAAAGTTAATTGTAAAAGCTGTTTGATCTAAGAATTTGGAAGTTACTAGACCTGCCAGCATGGCTTGAACCAGCAATGGTGCTGCGAGTGAGAACATCAGCATTTGCATGGTAATGGCTTGCTGCAGATGCTTCAGACACAGTTGGAGGTCTCTGGCTGGGAACAATGAGATTAAGAAAGAAAAGTGACCAAAAGTGTTTATTTTGTACACATATTTCAGTTCAAGTTGCTTTAGTATGAGAAGTGCTTTTAAAAGCAGCAGAAAATAGCAGTATCCGTAAAACTGCATTGTATTCAAGTTATGTAAGGCCACTCAAGGTTTTGTACACCAGAACTTTTGATGTTTCTGCAGCTTAAAACCATTCCAAGTGTCTGATTTCAATTAGTCTGCAACCAAATGAGGCAGCTGTGTAAACCCTGGAAGACTGGAAAGTGGGCTCGGAACATGCATTTTGTCTAAAATAAACATAGAAACATATTTTGAGGAATAATAAAAGCATTTATGCATTTTTTTTTAATTGTAGTTAAAATGAAGAGTTATTGTAGAGAGAACACAAGCATATCTTATTACAGCATTAGAATTTTTAGTCCCTATTCTTCTGTCATCCAAGCTCCAAAAAAGGCACTGTTCAAATATGAGTATATTTTATATATTCACTTTTTCAGTGAATTTACTTCACTGTAAAAGACTTAACAATGTTTAATTTTTTGCTAATGTTTTCTGTCATTACATACATATATAAAGAAATCTGGAAACTCATGAAATATGCTTTAGTTGTTGAGATAACTTCTAGTTTTTCTGTATTGAGTATTTACTATGATTGGCAGTATTTTAAGGGTGCCAATTATCATGTAATTGATCATACATTGATTACTTTTTTCTATATACTTCTGTAATAAAATTGAACAGGTATTCTATGTATCCATATATATGTGTTCTCCCTTAAACCATTAACTATATAGAACATGGTTTAGTAACTAAATTTCCTTCATTGTTTATTTTTGTAATGACCATTTTCTCATAAAAGATCACATCTGCCCTAAGGAGTCTCTCATCAGACTACTGAAAGCTAAGGACTAACCATACTAGCAAGAAAATACAGTGAAATCAGCATATTGTTTTCTGTCTCCTTGGACAAATGGTTAATTAAAAAAATTGTCGTTCAGTTCAACCTGCCAAATCTGATGTGCTGTCTGGGACTTTTCCCTCCTTTTTTTTTTTTTAATTTTCAACTTCAGTTGCCTTAAAGGCAGTTTTCAGAAGTGGGTGTACCACAGTAGGTGGAACTTGGGAAACTACTCATTGTTACAGATCCAGAAAGCCCCATTTTGGTGTCCTGAAGTTTGTTTCTGTAAGCTTGGAAAGAATAACGAAGCAACTAGTGCTGGGTAACCTACCCAAGTGTTTCCTGGCAGACAGCATGAAATATTTGTTCTGACATTTTAGGGGATTTTAGTCAGATTCTCCTAATTGTTTCCATAGATCTGTATCTAGGGACTAATAGTACCGTTTTTCATAGGAACACTCTAATCACTTTATTTCTTTCTGGTTAACAGCAATCATTCGTAAAGGACTTGCACACTATGGTAGTGTAGACTGATGACTATTCCACACATTCCCTTCCACTCTTCACACAGTGCAAACAGAATTTAACTTTTGGAGCTACTTGGTGAAAAACTATTAGTAAAAGGAGTCCCAAGTATAATAAAATTATTACACAGTTTTATTTTGAAGAACATTTTGCATTTGTTTTAATACAAAATGATGTAGGTCAAGAAATAATTTACAAACCTTTAAGTTCTTATCCTGGCATTTGAAATAAGAATGATTTCAGAGGAAGTCTGTAAGCTATTCATAGGAAACTGTCATTATGTACAAAATGTTTATTGACATGTTTTAAACATCACATTTGTAAAAATGTGAACTGGATTGCTATCTAGCATATGAACTACAGGTAAAACCTGATAAGATAACTTGTTAGAACAAGTCATTTTTATCCAGTGCTAACAAAATAGACAGTAGCTTTCAGTGGTTTTTGATTTTCCTCTTAGGTCATTTCAGCCTCAAGGTAATTTCAGGGTTTTACTGCATTATGAACAATATCTAAGCCCTCTCTTGATTGCATAAAAATAAATCTTTGAAATAGTACACATAGAACAACAGAAAGGTAGAGGCAATAAAATAGTACACTTCTTATATCAAGGTTTTTGGTTCTGTGAAGAATCATTTTATCATATTTCTTTTCTTTCCAAGCCGAGGAAATAGTACTCAAGTAAAGCATTTTCATTTACCTGTGAAATATTTTCTGCCCAAGATGCTTCCTATCAAAGTAGGGTATGTAGGTAATATACTTTGTCAAAACTAATTATCTCATGACCAGTAATACCCTAGCATGAGCTTTCCAATTTTTTAATTATTTTAATACTTATTTTTAGCAAGGGATTAATAAAAAAATAAAATTAGAGCTTATTTTTCAATCAAAAAAGTTAAAATAACTTTAAATCTTTTACTTTTCCAAGTATAAGACTGTAAATAGTCAACTGTGCATCCCTTATGCAGAGAGATTCATTTGACTCAATTATTTTAAAAAAAAAAAAAAAATCTGTTCTGTTGCCAAGTTCAAACTTGACACTTTGTCTGAAAAAGAGCTTTACACTGAGAGGTGGCTCTATTTAAATATTTATGCTATAGATCTATATATTCCAAGTAAAAATACTTCTATCTAGAATTCTGTGGAGAGTTACAATAATTAGGGTCCATAAATATTGCTGCAGTTCAATTACGGTACAATAATTACAAAATATAGAACATCTCTTTACAAATACAAATCATTGTATATTACAATTAATTTACAATAATTTCTACTATATAATTTTTAGCAAACTATCTTGTCTAATTCTACTATAACCTGGTTGCAAGTGCATTAGTAAGAATGCAATTATTCCAGTATATTTTGCCCTTAACGTGATAGTCATAAAACAGACTATCTGAATGATATTTTCCTATGTAAACCGGTGTTACATATGACAGATTATTCTTTATATAACTTCTTTTTCCAACGATCTCTAACAGGTAGAGCATGACAAACTGCATTTTAGAAGAGCATTAAGAAAAGAAATAAGGAGGCAAGTTTGAAAACAATGTTAGAATGGATATGCAACGGGTAGCTGATATGCTGTTGAGTACTGAGGTAATGACATTATTGGTTGTCATCACTCATCTCATGTTGCTATTTCCCACGCAATTTTGTGCCAGACTCACACAGACATTTTCATTGACAAAATCCTGCTCTACTGTGAAGGACAGCAGCATGAGGTTGAAAGACAGGCAAGATATTACACCTCAGAATCCTACTCTAGCCCTCAAAAAACTGATTGTCACAGTCTGCTTGGTTTCAAAATAACCTAATTCCTACAGAGGAACTGAAGATTCTGTGGGAGGAGACGACGTACTGCAGCTCTGATCACATTTCGGCAACCTGGAGATAATCAATTTATTAGTTATGGCTTCCTTGAGGTGTGACATCACTTGTACAAAACGTGATTGGTTATTCACTCCAGCTAGTGCCTAGCATCTTTAAAATATGAGGCACTTTTTCTGTTATTAGAATCATTTTCCTTGCTAAATACTATAAGCTTGTAATGCATATCATTTCATCAGCTAAGTCTTCTTCATATCGTCCCGTTTCTGGTTCTTCATCACTGTAGCCAGGACCAAAATCTTGAAGTTCATAATCTTGTCTGCTTAAAATGGGAAACATATCCCCATTGGTCCCATTGCTGATATTTCCATTGAGAAGATTACTCGCTGCACTTTCCATCTCATCAATAGTCATGTCACATGCATCAGCAATCTCGTGTTTTGTAGCTGAAACAAATTTAGGGTCCTTTGCGTACCTTCCTAGGCCTTCCGATATAAGTACCTGGCAGATGGAGGGGAGAGAATGAGATGTGAAGTGGAAATACAGAAGAGCAGGCAGGTCATAAAAACATTTCTCAGTTGTGGAAAATACTAGAAACCCCACGCTGACTCACTACAGCAACCCACAGCAAAACTGCATGTGTAAAGAACAATCAGATCAAATCAACAATCAAATGGCTCCAAGCTCCACTGTATCAGTGATGTGATAATGTAACTGATGATGCAATATACCTGACTTTTCTCTTTAGAAATTTGGAAGTAGCCTTTGATAAACATCAATCATCAGGCTGATATACTAAAGGCAGCAGTTAATATATCGCAGATGGTGCAATTAGAACTGCCTGAAACAGAATTCTAGATACATTCTCGGTTCTTTAGAGTACATGGAAGAAAGATGCTGAAGTCCCATTTGCAAATAAAATTTAACAAAGTATATTGTTTAACTCATAGCAATGGAAAGGAAGTGATAGATGGAAGCAAGAACAGTAATTATGATTCAGAAATGCTATGTACTCTATCTTCAGAACTTTTTTTTAACATGAAAGGGAATTCTTAACATTCATGAGTACACCTACAGATCAATCCTTGTAACTATTAACCTCCGCATTCAGTACACTGATTCATAGAGCTCTTGTTCTTTTATTCAGATTACTGCAAAAATGGTGATACATTTCTACAGAAACAGCAGAGAAAACAGGCACATGCCTCATGTCTTCCCTATCAGCCACCATGGAAGTACACTTCATAACTGATCCTCATCTAGAAAACTTAAATTTCAAGTATCTCTGAAATCTCTGCAGTTCTCTGACACACTAATGTTAAGATCTGGATTCAGTAGAAATCCTTCACTACATGACAACTATGAATAAGTTCCCCTGTCTTTACTTAGAAACAGTTTTGGGCTTTGAAACCGAAAATACCACATTTTCAGAGAGATAATATGGACTGAATGATACGCTTTTTAATGTTAACACAAAAATGGAAGAGACAAATACTCGGCTAGTTCAGAGCTTTCTGTAATACTTACCGCTTCTACCAAACTGTCTGCACTCCTCTGTTTGTCACTATGTTTATGCCTAAAGTCATTAGGTACAGTTAAATTGGCTGGTGTAAATGTTCGGTAGGAAATATCGGGGTCATCTGTGTACCAAGAGCTCCTATGCAAGGAAGGCAGGCTGCCATTCATGTGTTCTGTAGATTCAGCCCTATCAACCTGGATTAGAGGTGTGTAATATGGAGTACGGTCCCTGTTGGGAGGGGTCGCAGGTGGGGTAGCCCAGGAACGCGTTGAACGACTTGGTGAATGCTTATGAGCTTTGCTGGAATCCAGACCTGCAACAGCCATGACCTGATAAGGGGAAGAATTTTAGAAGTTAGTGATTTCAAATGCTCAGTCATACTTTTTCTCATTTCAGCAGTTAGTTCAAGCCAATTGTTCAGGCAGCAAAGTTAGCATCACTTGATGTTTAATAGTCATGTAAAGGAGGAACAGGACTGAAATTGGTAAATTGACAGGATACAATGCCATTTTTTCTATTATTACTCGGATCACAAAATCTTGGTATTGGCATTAATAAAGAAAAATAATTGCTTATACAATATATGAAACAAAGAAAGCGAAGTGTAGAAACATTCCTTCTGTCCTGTAGGGACAGGATAGGAAGCTGTCAGCATTTTCACAGAATCACAGAATCACAAGGGTTGGAAGGGACCTCGGGAGATCATCTAGTCCAACCCCCCTGCTAAAGCAGGCTCTCCTAGAGCATTCTACACAGGACTTCATCCAGGCGGGCCTTGAATATCTCCAGAGAAGGAGACTCCACAACCCCCCTGGGCAGCCTGTTCCAGTGCTCTGTCACCCTTACAGTAAAGAAGTTTTTCCTCATATTCAACTGAAACCTCTTATGTTTCAGTTTGCACCCGTTGCCCCTAGTCCTGTTGCTGGACACCACTGCAAACAGACTGCTTCCGTCCTCTTGACTTCCGCCCTTAAGATATTTGTATGCGTTGATGAGATCCCCTGTCAGTCTTCTCTTCCTCAGGCTGAACAAGCCCAACTCTCTCAGCCTTTCCTCGTAGGGGAGGTGCTCCAGTCCCTTTATCATCCTAGTTGCCCTCCTCTGGACTCTTTCTAGGAGTTCCTCATCTTTCTTGAACTGGGGAGCCCAGAACTGGACACAGTACTCCAGGTGGGGTCTCACCAGGGCAGAGTAGAGGGAGAGGATAACCTCCCTCGACCTGCTGGCCACACTCCTCTTAATGCACCCCAGGATACCATTGGCCTTCTTGGCAACAAGGGCACCCTGCTGGCTCATGGTCAGCTTGTCATCCACCAGGACTCCCAGGTCCCTCTCAGCAGAGCTGCTTTCCAGCAGGTCAGCCCCCAGCCTGTACTGGTGCATGGGGTTTGACCTCCCCAGGTGCAGCACTCGACACTTGCCCTTGTTGAACTTCATCAGGTTCCTCTCCGCCCAGCTCTCCAGTCTGTCCAGGTCCCGCGCATTCAGAATGGTGTCTTGACTGTGGAAACCACCATTCTCTCGAGACTATGTCAGAGCTGGGCATTGAGCCTCAGAATACACGTATTCTGTACTTGCAGATTCTCACAGACGGAGCTGAGTAACTGCCTAGGCAAAGATTAAGAGACAGCTGCCGTATTATGCAGTCCTGGCCAAAATTCCAACTCTGTGGACACTTCAGGAGTCATGGGGGCAAGCTACTCATTTTCAATGTTTTGTAGAAGGTCGATGTTTGACAAGCCTTGTGTCTAGCAACTACAAGCCTACACTTGGCCTAGAAGTTGTGCGCAGGCAAACCACATAATGTACTAGTGCTGTTTCAAACAACAATGAAAGTCAGAGGTACAATATAGAAGCTGGAAAAATGTCATTCATTATTAGTTAAATAAGATTTTGTGTTTACCTGCTGTTGCATTAAGTGAAGTGGTAAAGCAGTGCGATGGTGGAAATTGGGAGAGAGCGGTATGTCATCTTGACTGCTTTGTCGGCGGAGGCATTCGAAGTTAAAGGAAGATCGTCTATTTGCTGCAGGGAAACCATAATTCATTAGGAAAATAAAATACTTTTCCTCAAAGTCTATTATTTCCAGAATTCCAGTGTAAGTCAATTCACACATCACACAAATAAAAACATCCCTGAATAAGAAATAAGTTGTGCTAACAGAAGGCAAGCAGCTGGTTATAAGAGGAAGGGCAGATTCATCATATGAACAAATGCAGTCCTAGAGAAACCATGTGAACAGCCTGCCATGACAGAACTCGAAGCAGCTATGCTTCACAAAGCAAGCTTGCGTTATGCAGCAGACTGGTTCAGACACTTAACTTCAGAGTTTTACTGTAAACTGCTGTGAACAGTTACAAACAAGAGTTTCTTCTTTCTTCCCCATGGTTTTGAACTTCATTCTCATGAACCAGACTGCCCAAAGGAAATTCCAAATCCCCAGTTCCTTGGAAGCAACGTATAATATGAAAAACCATACACAAGTCAAAGTTGACTCATGTTATCAATTCCTGATGTTTATCCTGTTATTATGACAGTGATAAATGATGGTGTCTGCTGTTAGGTATGCTGCTATTATTCATGTAAATGCTAGAAAGGAAAAAGTAGAAATCTAAACTGGATTGAGCTGTTTGGCTGATGTGGAAATGTTTCAGCTGGTCTTGGAGAAAGGCTAGGAACGATGGGAAGAAGCGCATGGGTATCATTCCTCTGTGTTAGCTTCAGTGTGAGGAAGACCTGGGTGCTGAACAACAGCTGGAATCCAGATAAGTCCTCACAGCTGAGAGCATCATAGTGGAAAACTGGAAAGAGCCTTGACTGTACAAAGCACTGACACAAAATTGCACTGTCTTGAAACTTACTGAAACTATCTTGGTATCTTTTTTTTTTCCCAACACCAAGAATTTTGTGAACAGTATTGAAGAGTTAAGTGCCATAGACTTAGGATTCCTCATAGTTATCACCAGGCACTTAATGCTCCATGCTAACAATCAAGGTTCCTTAAAGAGCCATTGGACTAAAACTGGCACCTCCAGGAAGTGATTCAGTACACTCAGTGCAAACTTCATGTCTCTTTCCATTGCCTCTGTGGTAAATTCAAATACAGGAATGTCAAGCCTTAGCTCCTGATCATAACAAATGCTAAATGTCCCAATAAAAAAATGAATAAGAAACCCCCCCAAAAATCGCCTCATTCCAAACAAGACGCTGCTTTGCACATGCTTCTCCCCAGGAGAGAGTCTGAAAGAACATTTTAATTGTTTCCCATTGCACTTCTGGAAGTTGCTCAACTACAGTGGTGGTGAGTTTGGTATAAAAACCTCTAGAAAGCCTGACACACAGCTCAATACTAACTACAGTATGCAGCCAAGGCACTGCATGTGGACTGAATCCAGATGGTAGCAGAAACTGTTTAGTGCAATGTTGCAGGTTCTTCTTTTTTTTTTTTTTTCTTTCTCTTTTTTTCTTTCTTTACATGCAAACATCAAGGCTTTGTCCCCAGGCCAAACAGCCGACACACTAGTTACAAATAACAGGTTTGAGCTTCTTTTAAAATCTGATGAAATACCGAGCCTCTAACTGCGTTCTTGAACATTAAATCCATGATTATGATGGGAAGCCTAACTGTGCTCTTGTGACATTATACTGATGTAAGTCAAAGGACTTTACTTCCTATGCTACCCTTACGCAACTTAGATCAGAACTAGGTCCTCCTATCCCAGGATATCAAATACCCTCTTATCTAGTAAATCTATCTAGGCTCTTGTACTTATCAAAAAAGTTAAATGAAGCCCAAAGGCTGCAGTCACAGGAAGCCTTCAACCTTCCCCTCTCAACACGTCCATGGGAAGCCCACGGAGGCTTTTTATAAGAAGGTTGTTCCCCTGCAATGTATGGAAAGGATATATAAAGCACCCATCCCTTCAGCTTAAAATTTCTCTGCTATCAGAACAGCTTGTAGGAAGATGTGCAGGAGTCTCCTTTCACAGTTTCCCCTCTGTCTGATGTCTTCCTTCTGCTACGGGAAGATAGCTAGCAGCTTTGTGTATGCTTCACTATCATTCATCTGAGTTATTTACCCTCTGTAGTGCAAGACTCACATTCTTTCTGCTTTTTCCATCTGTGCCCCTTAAGGTCAGAAAGCCAAACAGCAGAGAGCATTGCTAGTCTTCTTGGGAGGAGCTGAGTGCTGAAAGTGAGGATCCGGCACTTGACAGTATGGCTGAAGAATGTTTTATTTGTTATACAATAATATATTTTGCTGCTGCCCTTTACTACAGCTTTCTGTAGTTTTAAACAGTCTGAGACTGTAAATCTATACCTACATTTTCTTTAGGGTGCCTGAGACAGGAAAGGACTGAAACTCATTTTCCTACCCACAGGGTCCTTACAGTCATAATGCCACAGATAAATGGACTGTGACTCTGGCTGCTAGCATCATCAGAATGAAAGACAACTCCGGTTTTGCTAGAAAGCCAATCCACCTTAGAGCAGACAAAATATGGAGACTTTTCTAGAAATGATCCTTTGTTGTCTTGACTGGATGGCACTGGTTAGATGGCGTCATCCAAAGGCATATGTAACAGACCTGGCTGTGCTGACCACACCATGCGTAAGCGTATTCCGAGGGATGCTATGGGGTTGCGTGGAGCTGAGTTTTGTTTCTTGCGGACCAATGCAGTCTCTTTATTTTAGCCTTGGGAAGCTGTTTATTTTACACTTCACAACCCCAGGTGCTTCCGCTCTGCAAAGTGCCATAGGTCAAAGACCAAAATCCAAGAGTTTTGAGTCTGTGCCTAGTTTCACCAGAGGATTAGGACTGCTAATCTCTGCAGTATGGTCTGGAATGTACAAACCCAAAATTACAAGATAAGAAGATGAGAGCTTTTAGAAATGCAGATAAAGCAATATTGTGCTTGAGATAAGGGGAAATGAAGGGAAAGATTTAAGGAGGAGAAAAACTGAAAATTAAAGAAACAGGTAAAAAAAAATCAGTATTGTCAGTTGACAATACTAATTCAATCTATAAATTGAAACGTTTTCTCCCTCAGAAGAAACATGGAATATTAAGCCTTGTTCCTGAGATGGCAGAATGAAGTACCAATGTGAATCTGAAATAAGGTGCTTAGCCCAGGATAACACTTCAATTTTTCACAGGGATTTGAGAAACTCACATTAAAAAGCTAAAGGCACTTCAAAAGTAAGGGAAAAAAACCCAAGCCCAAAGCACTATTAAGCTCACTCTTGGTTCTCTTTTCCCTGAAAATTATCCCACTTCAGACTCTAGTGTTTACTAAAATGGTACGAGGTAAAGGCGTAACTGGAAGTGATTACCATGGCATTAAGCAGGATGTCTTAGGAGACAGGGAAGTGCCAGCAGGGGAGTCACTATAGAGACAATAGGCACTGACTCATGGCAACAACGCACAACCGCAGGTGTGAATAAAGGGCACACGGATTGAAACACTTTGATCAAAGTTTCAAAGTAAACTACTGCTGCATTCCACCTTGCTCTTCCTTAATTTATCAAATCAAGTTAAAACTAGCAATTAAATTGGTTATTTTTGTATTATGGGATGAGTGAGGCAAGAGATGTTAGGAAGACTGACTTGTAAGTTAGGTTCCATAGATTTTTTGAGCAACCTCTCAGGATGGATAGACAATTCTCCCATACACGATAAACCATTAGTGACAGTAATCAAGAAATGTCATGTTGAAATCCAAGCCTTTTTAAACTGGGACATGTCGGAATGTATTTCAAGAATTCCGGCTTTGCAAACAAATTGTTCTTAATGTACTTACGTGTTGGTGTTGGAGGTAGCAGCCGTCTCCTAGGAGATCTTTTTGTATCATAACACATCTGTGAATCATCTTCCTCAAAAAAACCATGTGGGTGATGGTAACCTTTTGGTCTCTCAAAATCTGAGTCATGGCAGTGATATCTACAGTGGTAATTATATACATGCCTGTGTTGAAAATACAAGAAAGAAAATGTTATTTCAGTCAGTTTCTGAAAATTGCTCTATTAGATTTCTTATAGAAGATTTTCAAATCAACTCTTTCTCCAGCAAGACAACCAAACATTACATTATATAATTACACAACTCAATTTTAAAATTCAGTTTTTGTGTGCAAACTGATTTTGAGATAGCACATATACACTTTCCTACTAGTATAGTTACATACTAAGTTCTCAGGTGAAATTTTTATCAAATTATATTTTCAGTGAAGTTATTCTTACCAGTACAGGCTAAAACATGGGATCTCAGTTGTACATTGTTTAAAGTTAGGACCTGCCCTGTTGCTGAAGCCATCACTGCCTGAGGCCAACGGCACAGTGCTCAAATCAGACTAATTTGGTAATGATCAAAACCAAACTAACTTGGGAGCCACTGTTCTAAAGTTAGAAAAACCCACCCCAGTTCATTTCTGAAGAAACTGTGTGAAATAAAGTTTCAGAGAAAAGCTTAAATTTACCAAGATTAAATCAAGGCCTTTTCTTCTTAAATCAGAAATTAAGGTATTGAATGCAGACGTCATGGGAGTTAAATACACAGGATCAGGGAAGAGTTGTTAAAAATGCTACTGGGCCTTGGAAATACGTTGCTGGACTGAAATACTATAATTAACTGGGTACTATGCCAAGGTTTGGCCAGAGAAAACAGAAACAAGTTAGAAAATGAATAGGAAACAGGTTACAAAACTAGAACTCTGCAGTTACAGTAAGGAGCTTGAGATTAACACAAATTTGGACATTATGCAATAATACAAATTTATAAAAAATGCTAGGTGTTGACTAAAATTCAATTGATGGTATTTCCATAAAGCTTATAAATAAAAATTAAGAAACATCTATTCCAAACATATAAAGGCCAGGACAACTATGACAGTGTTAAGTGTTTGTACTAAGATAAAAAGTGGTGCCAAGCGGAGGATTATCAATAAAGAGGTAGAATAAGAACTTTCAAAAGGAAGCCATCCAATTCTTTATTGGTCCAGCTAGTACTACTTTAGGATCTCAGTCCATAGTTTACCAGTTTCACCTTTCTTTTTAAGTTATCTTAAAAGAAGAAAACCATTTCTAAAAGTTCCTCTATCCGAGCTTGATCCTTCTTACATTGCACATGAGATTTTATTTACAAATTAAACATTTCCTTTTTTATGCACTATCTAGTTTATACTCAGTTCAAAGGAACATCGTGTTTTCCTTTGAATTTGGTTCAGAAATTTTGCTGGAGACAGCACATGATGCCAAATACAAAAGATCTTTGTTACGCACACTATTCCTGTTCACCATTTCACTTGCCAGCAGTTGTGCAGTATTAACATTGGAGAGTTTTCAGCATAATTGTGCTCAGTGAAGCCTTTACAGATATGTACCTAATTTATTGAAATGTTTTTGCCAGTTTAACAAATATCCTCACCTGTTTCCTGACAACATACTGTCTTCCTCATAATATTCTTCTCCACTAAAATACTCCTGCTCTCCCAAATAATGATCATCATTGCAATAGTCTTGAACTTCACGTTCTTCGCGGCAAATAGTAGGTCGACGCCCATCACCAGAGTCAGATCTGTAAGTAGCAAATGCTTACATTTTAAATATTTTATTTATATAAATTATATATTGTATATTTTATACACATTTCTTTTAATGTGCTTCAAAGAAAAAAAAAGACAAGCATTAACAACTCTCTTGTCAGAACACGATGTTACAGTAAATTGCGTAGAACTGTAGTTCAGAGCATGACTATTTTATCTGTTTCTTAAAGATGACCTCTGTTTATTTATGGTAAAAATAGGAAAGTAATTAATATGGGGACCCTCAGTGAAGTCAAATACATTTAAGACATTTTTACAAAATGTAAATTCAGAGTACTTTGAAGAAACACAGCCTCTCTCAAATGTCTGAAGTTTGCCAAATGGCTAAAATATTAATGAGCATTCACTGAGGTATTCCAAGAAAAATCTGAAACAGATGTGCAAATCTAGACATTAAAAACTAGCGCTGGATGTACACTTAGCAGTGCACTTCAAATAACAAAATATAGCCTATTTTTAAAAGTTCTCTTAGAAAATATTCAGACATAAGACCAGGAAAGATTTTGCGTCCCCTATAAATGGAACTGTACACATTAATTTTTACCAAAGCTAAACCCAGTTTTTTTCCAGTCTTTGCAAGTCAGTTTTAAACAAGGGCTACCATCAGGTATGATCTTTTGTGATCTTGAAAACTGCACAAACCTGCCTGGACTTTTAAAAGGGTTTGAATAATTCTGAATTTTACCAGAAGTTTATCCTTTTAGAACAGGCAGGTGGAAAACTTGTCTTAGAAATCGTCACTTAAGTCATTCAGCATATGCACTTCCATACAGTTAATTTTGAAAACTGTACTAAAGAAAAAAAGAAAAGAGAGGGGACAGAAGAAAAGAAAAACTACTTTGTCCTCTTCAATTATGTCAGAACAATATCAACTCACCTGATATACGTTTCATAGTAGCGGGTTCTGTCCAGGTAAGCCATGAAAATAAGGAGAAAGATATTTTAAAATCATGTAGTTTAGGGAAATTCATTGGTGATTACAATGTCTGTGCTGTAACTAATAATTTCACTTTAAAGAAAACTACCATTTTCAAACCTTATTACAGGTATATACATTTCCCATACATCAGAGCTATATTTATATATGTTTTTATACATTTATATATGTTTTGTACATCACTAGGCAACAGAAATAAAGCTAACTATACAAATTAGTTTCATGCAGCATAAGTTTTCTTACAGTGTATTTATAATGTATAAATTTATTTAAAAGCAAATACATATTTGTAAGTTTACCTCCTACTGCTTGGCCTTCTACGCTTCTCGTGATCTGTTCTGGAGTATGAACGGTAACCATTTTCAGATCTATGCTCATGATTTCCAAAATGCGTGTGTTTTCCATGAACAACTTTGGACACGTTGGCATTATTGAGATTGGCATTTGTTGAGTTTGGAACTTGCTTTCCTACTGAGTTGTGATTATGATGATTGTGGTATACAGAATTTCCCGCCTGAGGATATATATTTTTCTCAGTATCACTTGCAGATGGAATTGAAGGCCGCTGAACATGTAAGGGACGGTGTGTGGTGTTGATCTGCTGAAACGAATCTCGTCTGTCACTGCTAATATGGTTTATATGGTTGCCAAAGAGGGCACCATTTCTCTGTTTTAGGGGAAGAGAAAGAAAAAATTACATCAGATACCTTAACAGACCATAGTTTTGACAGTGATAACGTCCTTTCTGTCCTACATGCATACGGAAGTAGCAATTCAAATAATCTGTGATTTTTCTTTCTAGTTTTATGATGCTTCAGATGGGATCTCCTGAAGTGATCAAGATGTGATTGTGATAATGACAATACTTGTATTTCAGAGTCAAATCAACATGATGCTGTGATCGTTATTCTTTTTCCATACAACTAAATGCGACATCTAGATTTCTCTACATTTTACTACTCAGGAGAAATCTAGATTCCCATACATAACATGCATTGACTTCCTCAGGAAGGGACATGTCTGCTTAATTTTTGAGAACACTTTGGTGGAATTCCCTCGTGTTCTCCCAGAGCATCGGTTTGCAACAGGCGTCATGGAGTGCCATGCAACAGCTTGCAAGCATATCTCAGGTAGGTAACATTACGCTTCAGTGCTTCCATTCTTTCTTCTTGCAGAGGTACAAGAAAGAGCAGTAACTCTTTATCAGCCCTGAAGAGTGTAACAGATGGTGAAAGGGAGAATGAAGTGCTAAGTTATGACTGTGACATGCAGCTCTCTTTTACATCTGACCCAGATTATGTCGCCACCCTGTCTAGCCAGGTGTGGGTCCTGGATGACAGCAGGCTGTCTTGAAGCTCAATCTAGGGAAGACAGGAGGTAATGATGGTTGGCAGAGAAACACAGCTACTGGTGGTAGCTGTGGCACTGTCTCCAGTGCCGTGTCCTCCTTTTTTACAAAGGACAACAGCAAGCTATGGGGCTGCTGACAATTACTGCAGAAGTGTGCTTTTCCAACTGCTTCTTCTGAAATACTTGTGAAAAATTAAGTTTTCTTGCTGGCTGACAAATGGCTTGCAGGTCACTCCTGATTATAACACCAACTTTATGTGTTCACCATTAGACTATAGCCTAAAAGAGGAAAATAATCTTTTTTTTCCAATTGGTTCTTATTGATATCCCTCTCAGGAAACTGGAAATGGCATTTACATTTAGTTGACTTCTGTGTAATTCCAGGCATCCATTTTCAAATACGCAGCTCTGTGTCTGTTGTGGCTTGGCTGCACAGAATTTCATTCTCTTCTTCCTATCTACCACTGCAGAAGAGTTGAACCTTGCCACTATAAAAATTTTAGATGGCAAGTTTCATACTTTTTCTTAGGATTTGCTTCAGAAAAAAATAAGAATTAATGAGAAAGAATTAGGGGCAGGAGAATCACCCTGCAGGAACTGCTTCCTAAATATATGATGAGATGCAAGTGTCCCAGTGGTACAATTTTTATAGATATATATAAAATATGCTTATTTATAAAATATTTAGTTTGTTCTGGTTTGAGGGGGGTTATTATTATTATTATTACATATTCAGGGATAAGCTCATTCTTTAATCTCATATTATATGATAAAACCATTCACATAGCTGTGTTCTGACATTACTTTATAAACATCTTCCTCCTCCTCTGGATTGTTTTCCTCAGGTTCATCATCTTGCAAGTCACAGGATATAGCTCGGCGTATTTCAGGGCCAATATCATGAAGTGTCCTTAGTCCTGCCTAAATCAATGACAATATCATAATACATTAGGAATGCAAATTCTTTTTTGTTCTTTAATTACAGGCATGTAAATCTATTTTAACGGACAGCTGACAAGCTTTTGTATCCTGACATCCATAGAGGATGCATCCTACTATACATAAAATTAATCTAATAATAAAGTATAAGTAATCAGCAAGAACTATAATAAAATGCATTTCAGTCAGATGTCTATTTAATGTTAAAACCATGTTTGCACCCTGTGTCCACAAAGAGAACACAAGGAGATCTTTGCTATAGCAACAGCACTTTTAGCAGAGCTCAGATGGAAAAGAAAGCAGTGAAATAATTCCAGCTCATCTGCACCGCACTGTGATATGCAGACATTCGATTTAAAGCTTTAGTTTAGGACAGAAAACCATCTAGCTGCAGTAGCATGGGCCGCGGCGTGTATCAGTTCATATTCCTCTCAAGCCTGCTACCACAAACATCCTTTAGGAGAAGGGATAATGCTGAAACTGATGAGGACAGACCCCCACATTAGAGAGGAAACAGACATCTTATTCAGGGCAAGAAATCACTGCTTTTGTATAGGCCTGCCTTACTTCAGAAAGGAGATATTTTTCCTGTTTTAATTCTGGCTGTCATGGTCTGAAGCAAACAACACAATCTTGTTCTTCCCTTTTTTTAATCTCCTTAGGTTCAGAAGAAATCAAATGTTTGTTTAGCTCTTTACTAACACTACACTTACACTACTAATAATCATGCACAGCAGTTGGCTCCATTCTTGATTATGATCTAAAAGCCTGATGTATTATTCTTCTGCATTTTTTATGCAGATGAGTGCTGTCCCAGCCCATCAGAGCTGTATTTCCATGATGGCATGACATTGCATGTTACTCGCCCTGGGGTGGTACGAAGATGCGTAGAGAATTTTGCGTGTTTCACAGCTCCAGAAGGAGCCGAAGGACCTTGGAGGGCACCAAACGCGGCTTGGTCCCATTCACGCTGCCTCTCTCACACGTTGCCTGGAGTACACTGCAGCATCGCAGTCAGGTTTGAGCTCAAAATGGAAAGAGTTGGTTTGCTGGGGTACAAAATGGCATTTATGCAGGGTGGGCAATCAGAACCTGGGAAGGGATGAACCAAAAAGCTTTGTATCTAACAGCATAGCTGTACTATAGGCTTCTCTCCAGGTTTCACTCATACCAGTATTTGATTGCCTGAAAATGGTGCTTGACTAATCATATTAGCTATGTGTATTTGGCAATTACATTTTCTTCCTCAGGGATGAACTTTGAGAGTTATCCTATAATTGAACAGGGCTCTAAAAATCATTTACTAGGGAGTTAATATACAATGTATGTTTCACAAGTACATTGTGCTTTCTCCCACGCTTCTTATGCTAATTGCACAGTCAAAACCTTAGCAAGGTTGCTAATGTCATCACTTCGTAAGGTGCTGAAGGGGAGTAAAATTAACACTTTAAGGTACAGTTTTCAAAGCAGAAGACCAAGGGCTTCTATTTAAATAGCAGAGGCAAAGGCAGTATTTATTTAGCAGAGGATTACTACTATATTTTGATTATTCAGTCATTACCAAGAATAGTCACTTGCATTTCACACTCACTACCTGCTTGTTTAAATAGCAAAGAAAACTAAAAAGAACAAAAAACCCCAAAGCTACGCTGACACTTTATCATAAAAATAAACTGAGGTTTGTATGAGCAGAATACAATGCAAGAACTACTAAAATAAGAAAATAAGCATGCAGAAAAATAGCTGAATAGACCTACGCTATAGCAGTGAACATAAGAGACATAGTAGTCAAGTCTCGATTCCCCAGTGTTATTCATCTTCGCAGAGCCCATCTTCTAACGCTGAAGCTGAGTGCACGGCTCTACAACTACACACAAGCTCCGTGCTTTCAGTCAAACCCAGACTCCCTTCAAGCTAAGCCTTTCTGTCAACACAACACTCTCAGACAGCCATGTTATAAATTTTAACCCTGGCAAAAACTACTGGTTTATATTCCATTCTGCCGAATTGTGACAAAGTCCCACAAATACAAGCCTAAAAGCTCAGAAAAGCCATGTGTTTGGCAGCAACATATTCAACAATAATTTAATTTTGGTTACATTTCCAACTGCCTTCTGGTTTACTTCTTGGTGAATTACTCCTTCTTTACTCAAGAGAAAGCAGGCAGCTTTTATCATCTCACGTCTCTTCAGTAATACTAATTTTCACATAACAGACTTCTTGCAATAACACAGTCAAGAGTGGAAGACTAAAACCCGGATCACCATATGTAAAAGTATATGTCAGTTAAACTAAACCAATCAGCTTTATTCACTCACAGCCAGTACGGAAGCCACAGATTCTACAAGCAACATCTGCCTGCAGAATTAAAATATTCCTCAGTTTATTTGCTCTAACAGAACTACCTACAACATTTTTGTGAGCTCTATCATTAAAATGACTACTCCCATGTACTGCCTCCTTTTACCTGGTGTAATCTAAAAGTATTCTAAGTATTCTAAGAACAATTTTTATGACAGGGGAGTGCCACATAGTGAGACAAATTCTCACGCTGAGCTCTTCACATAAGACAATCCTTCATTAGATCAGTTATCTACCACTGAAGTGGGGCTGATATAAAAATGCAGGAATTTATACTTATACGTCAGTAGAAAAATCCCTCCTCTGAACCACATTTAATGCCTTCTGTGAAGATCGCAGAGGTAGCATGGACTGATAAAACATTTGACTTTACCTTCAAGAACTTCAGAACCAAATCAAAGACCTCTTAAATAAAAGAACACACACAAAACCCAAACCAACCTTCCCACATCTCTCCATTAGTTTACAGGGAAGAAGGGTCCTTCTGATACACATTTCCCTATATAACATTGCCTGTTTTAGTCTACCCAGCAAGAGCCCTAGAGACATTACAACGCACAGGAGGGCAATGGGAATATACATTGTCCTCCATATGTGAAGTTCTAAAAACCACTACATTTACATTTGAGATAATGTCTTCTCTTAGAAAAAAACCCGAGTAGATGGGACTTTTCAAAGAGAGAGCCTGGACAGTGATTTGTCTACATTTGCCAGAGGCACGCTTGTTTCTTTTTCACTACAACTGCATAAATTCTTAGGAAGCAATTATTTCCCTGCGTAGAACTTCATAAGAACTTTTGTTGCTATTACTTACGATGATTTGAGACTAGCCACATTACTGAAGCATCATCTTATAATGACTTTCAAAAAAAAAAAAGTCTAATTTGAGTGTTATACAGAAATTTCTTACTCACAGTCTTTGAGCATGGCTTATCAGAGCTGCAGAGGAAAGGATATCACAGCTAAATCCTCCTTACTTTTCCCAAATGGAGTAGGCACTGAAGACCGACATAAGAACTTTCATAACATGTCCTTTGGTTGGTAAAGATTACTGCGGAAGGGTCACACTCTCTCTAGTCTCCCTTATATCCTTATTTTTTATGGCAGATTCTTAATTCCTGAAGATTTTCTCATGTCCAGAGGATTCTTGCCTTTCCTTAAAGGAAGCCTCAAGATTACTGTATGTCATTTCAAGAATAAAAACAACCTCTAACATTTTTCCATAAATAAGTGGAAATGTGAATAATAAGTATCAATTTATTTCCTAATTTTTGAGGACCAAAACACAGTTCACATCATTTCAAGAAGCAAGGGGGCGGTTCTGCCATCATATATACATCTAATATCCATCTCAGCTCACCAAACTGAAAACTGGCCTGGTCCACAAGGCTGTTAAATCACTCAGGTGGATCACATTTCTAAGAAAATGTGTTTAATAATCAGTATATTGCAGAACAGAAAACTGTTCAGTTCTGTTAATTTCTAACTTTCCAACAGAGTATTATTATTTGCTATATACAGATGTCTTTCCTAATGGACCTGTAACTAGAAAAAAATACTCTTTTTTTCTTACATGGGTGTTAATATTTATGTGCATTTACCTTTTAGCAAATTTTTTTTTCATCAAAGACACTGGAAGATGAAAAGGTCTAACAGAACAGATAAAACATGCAAGAGACGTGTTTAGGCACCATTTCTGTAGGGATAACATTGATCAAAACTGCATCATTGAATTATTCATGCTGTTCTGCAAGGGGACATCTGTTGTTTTTATTCAGGTTTTTCTATTTTGTTGTTGTTTCTTTGAACTGGAGAAAGAAAAGAGATTAAGGCCTCTGTGTTTGATTGCCTCTAATTCTATTCTAGAGATTTCACTAGGATTTGGCAAAAGAAGTTATTCAGACACTTTCTCTCCAACATTTAATTTTTGATGCCTTCCTTGCTTAGTTTTTTTCCTTGTAGGCATGAGAAAGAGGAGACAGATCAGTCCAATGGTTAGTTAGCAAACCAGTGCCACACAGCGTGCTGAACAACATAATTACGTAATAAACCCAAGCACGTCTTTAAATAGGCTTTCCTGTAAATGCACAAGATGACTTCAAATTAACATGATAATTCTGTGCAGCTGTGCTTTATGAGGCATAATAGCACCTGCAATGTTTTCAAGATGGCATGAGGCACTAACACACCAGTGCTGTGTCCTAAATAGCATCTCAAGAGACAATTAATGATGCCCCTGTCTCTGACAGAGCACTGAGATGACACACATGTGCTTTCAAATGCTGAAACAATAGAGCTGTAGGAGTCCCTCAGTGAGAAAAAATGTCACACAACTAATAACAATATTTCTGAATTGGTCATTTAGAGATAGATAAGCTTAAAGATGCTTGAAAATCACCTCATGCCAACACATCAAAACATTTTAAACTTACACGTCAAAACATTAAACAGTTAAACATTTTTAAAAGACTAATTTTAACGAATCCCAAATAGATTTAAAATCAATTTTGCACATCTATAGTATGCATAAAACAGCAACACCATGTTACATATATGTCTTATATTAAGAAATTTGTGTATAATGCAAGACTCCAGAGTCATGACTTTTAGAAAAACATTTA